TGGCATTTTTCTGTAAAATAAAACAAGAGCTTGTAAAAATGCTAATGCAATGCAAGAGATCGTAATAATACAATTGCAATGTGATAATAAACAGATATAAATAGTAAGGCTAGCTAAACAACTGGAATGATCTTCAAAACAAAACAGCCAAATGAGGAAGCTAGCATCTTCTTTATGTTATACTAGCTATGGCTTATTTAGCATCTAACAGATGCTAACATTTTATTTAGCATCTAACAGATGCTAGCATTTTATTTAGCATCTAACAGATGCTAGCATTTTATTTAGCATCTTATCAGATTGCTATCTACCAGATTAATACATTTTATGTGATATTCACAATTTAAACATTTAATGAATATATTTTCCCATAATATCATCAAAACTTACCTCACTTGTTAAGTCCACAGGCTCAAATGTGTGCCTTTAATACTCTTTGTCCTTCAGGCTCAAAAGTGTGGTCCATGTGTACATGTGATGGAGGCATGCACAGTGCCAGTAGGTGGTCTCAATAGCCATGCAGCAAGCTTGTGCTCTGTACATGTGGTTATGGAATGGTATGGATATTCAAGTGTATTTGAATTGCATTTGTTTGTTTTTGTCAATATTATGCTAAAATATACTTTGCTCAACTATATTTAAGTTCCCTAAGAAGAGCCATCCTTCAATTTTGAAAATTCCCACTTTATTCCCATAAATTCCCGTTAATTCCCGTTTATTCCCATTAATTCCCATGGAAAGATTCCATCTTTGAAAATTCCGGGAATTTTGCAACCCTAGCTATAAACGGTGTAACAGACTCAGTAGCACTAGGAATACACAAAAAAGATTTCTGCATTATCAACTGAATGCTTGAAAACAGTTTGCAACCCTATAGCTTTACAGCAGAGCTTCATTCTGTTTTAATTAGGTAACACTCAGCAGGTTGCATATATGAAAGGCTGCTTCGCTTTTCTACTCATCTGTGCACTTAAAGCGCTTTACACAACTTGTGCATTCACCCATTCGCACAAGCACATCTTTCTAAGTGCTTCATAGCTAACATTCATACTCCGATGGATGCATTGGAGAGCAATTGAGGATTAGTATCTTACCCAGGGATATTTGGCATGTAGACTAGGGGAAGCCAGGAATCGAACCACCAACCTTCCGATCAGTGGATGACCTACTCTACCACCTGAGCTACAGCCACCCCGAGATCACCTGATGGTCGGGGTCATATTTGTCAGGTTATTGGGACCAACCTGCGAACTGTGTTGGATCAGTGATGAGCTACTACGTCATCTATGGGTTTTCTTCTTTTTTATTCTTAATGTCGATGCCTGGGAATCCTCGTGACATCAGCTTTTCCTGTGTAAAATGGTGTCATAGCACATTTAGTCAAATGTTTGCCAGAGAGAGGTGACAGACAGAGACACAGTCAGTGCATGTTGAAGTACATTGTTGTTATGGGACTTTGACAGAAGCTGTGACTGAAGGACCTGTAGGGCCAAAGAGCATCAGACAAGTGAAAACCAGGATGCAAGAAGAAGTTTAACATGCTTTTGCTCCTGCTGAGGTAGAGGGAAGTGTACTCTCTATGGAGGAGCACTAAAAAGGTCACCTCCAGCTTTTGGTCCTAGTTTTTCTTCCTGAGACATTTGGGAAGTTGACCGAACCAGGGGTGGGATATCAGAGCCTCAAATTTATATCACAGGATATGAGGGAAATTTGTGATGATGCAGAAAAAAAGAATGGATGACTGATTGCAGCTCACAGACAGCAGCATTTATTAATGCAAAAATAAAGAATGAGCTACTCTCATTGATGGCACACTGCCACTCTGCCAATCTGAATCTATGCCTTACAGTGCCAACAGCAGCATTATATACAGTGTAAGACAGCTGTGAACACAAGTAGCCTGGGTAGTTTTTTCAGGAGAAATGTTTAACAGTTAGAGAGGATAATGTGGATGGCATCATGCTAGTCTGTGGGATGACTTTGGAAGTCAGGAACCTCTTTTGATCTCCAAAGTGAGTGAAGGCAGAGGCAAGAGTTAAATGCGTGAAGCTGAAGTAGCAAGAACGTTGTTCAGAGTTCAGAAAGGAGTTGAGACAAGCTCTGGGGAAGTTCAGCTGTAGTGCTAAGGGTAACTGCAGAGGAGGAGATGCAGAGTGTTGGTGTGACAGAGGAGGATTCTGGGATAGTGTGAGATGAAGGCAGATAATCTGCTGTGGCGACCCCTAAAGGGAAAAGCTGGACAAACAAGGTGGCGGCTTCGTTACTGTAGGTAGCTGACTTTATGGAAAGATGTTGGCTGACTTGAAGCAGAGTGAGACCGAGGCTTGTCTCACAAAAATGTCCCAAACCGTATTTCTGCTTCACTATAAGAGTATTTGATATTGGATTTAAATTTTCTTTTTAATGAAAGTGGCTGTGCTGACTTGGCGAGGACTCTGATTCTGTTGTTTAACATCATGTTTGCATCTCAAGCCCAGGGATTGATGTTACCACAGAGCTCGACAGCTGGATCGACAAGTTCTGTCTGGATGCTGATGTGTTTGTTCTTGTGGCAAACTCTGAATCCACGCTGATGCAAACGGTAAGAACTGCATGAAGAGATGAGGTTCAAACAGGACTGTTGATGACATGTGAAAACAATCTGAGTGAGGGGATTGTGTGACACTGCTGTGCATTGGGAACATTTTGCTTATATGGTGTTTTCCCTGTCAAAAGTCGTGTGAGGAGAAAACATAATCCAGACAAATAATTTCTTTTAACAGGGACAGGTATTCATGCTTTACCGCCAACACAATTAAATTCAACAACTGACATGCGTAGAACTCTGCAGCTTTGTGCACAAAGAAGCCTGGTTTTTGCACACTGCTGCAGTTTGATGCTCTTGTGAGTAGCTGTTGGTGCTCACAGCTTGCTCAAATGAACTCCCTTTTGACTGTTTGGAAGCAGGAATTTAATTGTATGAGTGCCAATGAAAACATACTACCTTGAAATTATTTACTTGGATTGTTGTTTTGTTTTTGTTTTTTTTTTTTGGCACATGACCTTTGACAGAAGAATAATTCTATAGTTGCCATCAGGAAAGGTCATCACAGATGAATCCAAAGTATTTCAAAGGGTTCTTTTTCTTATGATGAAAGATTTCTGTCCTGATGGGTCTCATTCAGAGTAACAGTGCCTCCCTCAATAATGGTGGTTTGAGTATAAAGAAATGTGAATCTAACATTTTTTTTTTTTTTTTTTTGCCAACCATTTGTATTTTCTCATTCACGGATTCCTTTTTTTTTTCTTTCAAACATTGGTACATTTTCATCCTGCAGGAGAAGTCCTTCTTTCACAAGGTCAATGAGCGACTTTCCAGTCCCAACATTTTTATCCTCAACAACCGCTGGGATGCTTCTGCCTCAGAACCTGAATATATGGAGGAGGTCAGTTATGGTGTATACACAAAGTACTTCTTTATGGCTGTTGTAACACTAGCAAGAGTGTCCACTTCAGTTTAGCATTTACCATTTGATGTCTCACATGGGACATTTTGGTCTCCTAACAGCTAAAGAGGTGTCCTTGTTGCTGTGGTGGGCAAATTTAAAGACATGATGATGACTTTGTTAAAGTTGTGTGTGCATGAATGCGTATTAGCTGTCAGGAGGTACTACAAACCCTAAGATGGTCCTTATTATGGCTTGTTGGTTACACACTAAAGGGCACTGTTCCAGGAGAAATCACCTCAAAACTCTCAATACCTGTCTAAAGATTCATTTTTTTAATAATGTGTTAGTCTGATGCTGCAGTGTGTCCTCTTTGCCTTGTATTAGAAGTTTCCAAGAGAGTTTATGAAACGTTTCTATTTAATTTTTCTTAATACCGTAAATGTATAAATCTCAATGTGGCATCACTTCCTCATCCAAAGAAAGCTTTGTTCTGGTAGGCTTTGCCTTTGTGATTCTTGCTAATTTAAGTGTGTTCTTGCTCAACCAGGTCCGTAGGCAGCATATGGACCGTTGCACTAATTTTCTGGTGGATGAATTGGGTGTAGTGGACCGAGCCCAGGCTGGTGACCGTATATTCTTCGTTTCTGCCAAGGAAGTACTTCAGGCTCGTGTGCAAAAGGCTCAAGGAATGCCTGAAGCAGGTGAGGGAACCAGTCTGCGCAATCAAAACTCTGGAAAGGTTTGAATTTTGAAATACGCAGCAAAAAAAGTTCCTTGACAAGCTCTGTACAATGATAAGATTGTACTAGATCGATCGGGGCCCAGGTTGTTGACTGCCTCTGGTGCTGTTGGCCAGTGGAAGGCTGGTAGGTACTGGGCTACTGTTGGCCGAAGATGAGACGGTGAGAGAGGAGAAAAGGCAGGATTGTGGAGGAGTGGGTACTTTAAATGTAAGGACCATGACTGATGTGATGGACAGGATGAAGGTAGATGTTTTGTGCATGCAGGAGACAGAGTGGAAGGTAAGCAAGGCCAGAAAACATTTTCTGCTTTTCTTTACAGCCATGTGACAAGGTTATTAACCCCATCATGGTGCCACACAGCCATTTGTGAGTGTCTGTAGCTAAGGAGGTAGAGGAGGTCATTTATCTAATCAGAAAAGCTGTTCCCATCTCCATTCTGCATGCCAAAGTATCCTTAGGAGTACTGCTAAACCCCAAGTTTCTATCTGGTGCATTTATTGGAGTGTTAATGTTAGAAAAAATGTACTTCGTGTAGAAAGAAAAGTCCTTGTATGAATGGCTGAATGAGGCGTGTTGTGTTAATTGCTTTGAGTGCTCGAATATAAAAGCGCTATATAACAACCTGTCTATAACATAGTAGGCTTGACCAGTAACAATGTAACGTTAACAAGTCTAGTCATAAATACCAAGTCTGTAATGTACATGCAATGTCCATTTAAAACTTCAACTTTACCTTTGACTTCCTTGTAGCATGCTGTTAGTTTTGTCAGTGGAGGAAAAAAAGGTGGGATGGGGTCACATCCCTGTCTTAAACATGATTTAGTATCCTCTAAATATTTTACTTTCATACGCCACTCTTTGGAAAGCCTGTGTGTTGAATTGTGTGCTGTTTGTTTCTCCAATGGCTCTGTTTGTGTTTTTACCAGCTTCTTCCTTTATGCAGCACTCAGCTCTGCTCACTCACTAAACCTCAACAGCACCATCTGGTGGACTAAAAGTGCAATTGACTTTAGTATATAAATAAAATATCACACGCACAGCACCTCTGCATACATAGGTTTCTATGGCTATGTCCACACGTACACAGATATTTTTGAAAACGCAGATTCTTCTATGCGTTTGGGCCTTTCGTCCACATGTAAACTGTGCTTTCAGTCACGGAAAACTTGATCATAAAATGCAGATTGTAACCATGATCATGACCACCGATCAATAACCAGTGATCAAAGACCGTTATGGACCTGGCAGTCATAGTAGGGGTGGGTTTTGATAATCGATTTATCGATTAAAATCGATTCTGGCTTGGATAACGTGATATCGATTCATTAAAATCCTGAATTGATTTTTTTAATATAAATTAATTTTGCCCGAAATGCCAGAATCACAAAATTTCGAAAACCACCAAACAGCTAAAACAGCTTTAAATGAGAGCAGGTACACGGATTCTGCACAAAGACTTAAACACAAAGTGCGGACCTGCGGATCAGAATTAGTGAGATGTCGCCTTTCTCACCCGACGGCACGGACACGGTCGGGCTGAAAACCGACAGCTCACTGATTCTGATGTTTCAGCGGGTCCGCACTTTGTGTTTACGCCCATTTTGCGCTGATTCTAAAGCTGTTAGTTTTATCTCTCTCCAAACAATATTGACCGAACCAGCAGCAAAAGAAGATCCAAACTACGCTTCACATAAACATCGTCATGAATTCACTCTGACTTTTGCTGTTTTGCTTCCACCATGATAAAATCACACGTCATGCACAGCTCTCTCTCTCTCTCTCTCTTGCTCTCTCTGTACTTCAAGAACAGTTTCCCGTCTAAAATCTCTTTTTTCTGTATTATTCGCTTTCTTATTACGCACAAGTTGTTTACAGCGCTGTCGGCTGCTGTTTTTTTCCTTTCACTTACTTCCAAAAGAAAGCCTAATTTCTGCCGTTCAATAGGCTTCTGAACAAATTTAAACTTTTTAAAATTATGCAAAATGCAAAACGCTTAGCCGTGTCTCTAATACAACCGCTGTAACTTCAGAGGTAATGTTCATATGTTGATTAATGGTTTTATTTTGTTTTTGATGTACTACAGAATATTTTTATAAAATCCCAGGCCAGGAAAGTCGCCTTCATGTTTTTCTGTTTTTTCTTCAGCTACTTTGATACAAAGGCATCTGCTGTGATGCTTACACCTTTGATAAAGTCTGGAAAGTGTCAGCTTCCTTTTTATAGATACAAAAATATGTAAATGTACTGATCTGAATTATAATATTTCTGACTGTCTGAGGCAAAATTTCCCAGATTCAAATTGAATTGAATTAAATTGAATCGAATCGAGGATCGAATCGATTCAGGATCGGAATACATACACGGGTATTTTTGAAAACTGAGATTTTTCATTTAAATGGAAATAACGTGGCGTCACGCTGTGATGCCACGTTGTTGTTTACATGAGAGAAATTTCTAGAATAAAAAAATACTGTCGCTGTTAATCTTACTATCTGCAGTTTTTACACGCTTACATATATACACACACACAGTTACTGTCCCTCCATTTACAAAGACAGAGGCATCAGAGTGAACTTCGGACGTGGCTTCTACATTCAATACAGACGCTCTCACAACGCAAATTGGTTTTAAATAAATGTAATTTCTTTTAAATTAAATTTGTATGTTGTATACATTTTTTTTCAGTCCTAAGTTGTGAGTCTACACCAGCCAAAATACTGTCTTTAGTTATTAACATTTGAAATGATGAAGGCACTTGAAAAGTAACGCAAAATTAGCTGCCTTTTCAGAAAAACACAAACTTTTCAGAGGTACTTGAGATTTTATGAACGTACAAAACCCGGTTTACTCTTTCCCTCCCAGACTTCTTGACTTCTGATTGGCCAACACTTCTACATGGTTAGGATGGCATGGATTGGCATGTTCTGTTTAACTTTGTTTTTGGCGTTTACATATGGATGGAGATTTTTTTTTTTTTTTTTTTTTTTTTTTAAACGAAAATGGAAAATCTCAGTTTTCGAAAATCCGTGTATGTGTGTACGTAGCCTATGACTGCCAGGTCCATAATGATCTTTGATCACTAATTATTGATCAATGGTCATGATCATGGTTACAATCTGCTCTTTATGATCAAGAAATTGACCAGGTAAGACCCCAGGTGCAGGCTGTGTAGAGATGCTCATGAGACAATCCAGCGCATAACAGCAGGGTGCAAGATGCTAGCAGGCAGGACATACATAGAGCGCCATAACCAAGTGGCCGGCATAGTGTACAAGTCCCGAGGTCACCACCCGACGGCGTTGAAGAATGTCTGAGCTAAGATCCTGTTAGATTTCCAGATACAAATGGACAAATTGGTAATGGCTAACCAAGATAGCCAGATGGCTATACCGAATGAAAGCAACATCAGGAAGAAGGAACACGAGAAGCAGGAGAAGTACCGAGGGTTCAGAGAAGAGGTGGAGGGTGAGGGGTAACAGTGGTCCCAGTGGTAATTGGAGCACTTGGTGCAATGACCTACAAGCTAGGCGAGTGGCTCCAGCAGATCTCAGGAACAACATCCAAGAACTCCGTCCAGAGGAACACCGTCCTAGATACTGTGTAGGACCTTCAAGCTCCCAGGCCTCTGGTAGAGGCCCCAAACTTGAAGGATAGACTGCCCGCAGGGGCGAGGGGGGGAATTTATTTTTTAATATAAAAATAAATGGATATATTTATATTAATTAATTATTAGATTAGATTACTGATAAGTATTAGAAAATGTTTAATTTGGCTTATTCTTTGTGTTTAAATAGATTTTAAAAAGCACAGAATTCTTGTGCCACGTAAAAGTTGTATGTAATCTGTATAGTTTTTTGAGTTTGAATAGACTTTAAAGTGAGGTGATAAAAAGTGTGAAACCCACTGTAGCGCACATTCTCACTCCTGTGCTGTTTCAGGTGGCGCTCTTGCTGAAGGATTTCAGGCCAGAATGTTTGAGTTCCAGAACTTTGAACGGCGTTTCGAGGTAAGATCCTCAAAACTAGAAATGAGATTTGATCTAATTTCTGTATGTTTGAATCTGTATGCTACATATGTGCACCAAATTTCATACATCTATGTTAAACACAATTGGAAATCCTAACATCCATCTGTACGTCAGTGGGAAAATATATTCCAAAAATGTCCACCTTATACTTTCCTACACTTAAATTTGGGCTTTGTTTTTGTTTTATTAATTTTAATATAAAGTAATCCAGTCAGTGAGGTGATGTGAGGGGGGGGGGGGAGGTTTCCACAAAGGGTGGTATCTCTTCCCCTGAGCCTCCGTTTTCTAGCTATTTTTCTTGCAGATATACTGATAGGGTTCCAGATTGTGTTATGTTTCTGGTGTGATTCACATGCATTAACCTGATCCCATCAGCTGCTTGCACGGCTTGGTAGTAGGGCTGCCACGATTAGTCGAATAGTCACGATTACGTCGACTATCAAAATCGTCGACGACTGATTTAATAGTCGACGCGTCGTTTGAAGCTTTGTATCACAAAAGACGCAGGAATAAGTAGCAGGATTTAAGAGTGTAATAACGGACTGAAACAGAAGATGGCAGCACTGTATGTACAAGGATGCCAGCTGCCGTTAAACCCGGAAGAAGAAGAAGCTGTGTCCCAGAATTCATAGCGCAGCCCAGCTCAGTTTCCAACAATGGCGGCAGCTAGTTAGTTTTAATATTACTCTTATTATTCTTTCTGGGTCACAAAATAAACGTTTAACATATTTTCAGGTAAGAATGTAGCTGTGTAAACCTCAAATATCTGCTCAGTTTATCAAGACACCGCATATTTTCAAAAGCGCTCTGACGTTTTCGGAGACGTCTGTTACCCACTAGCTCGATAGCTAGCCGGGGGCTAGGTCACTAGAGCCCTGAGAACACCGGACTCCTGGCACATCGTTTTCAAACCCACCGCTGTCTTTCGCTGCTCAGGTTAAACATGATATATGAGTCACTGAGATAACTTAAAATGTTATTGTTTGGCTTTTTTTTAGTATTTTATTTGTTCCTGAGTAAATCGGTTTGGCTGAGATTAAAGTTCTAGTTTTTACACAGCTGAATAAACTTCAAGCAGACAGCTGATTATCAGAAGTGTGAGATGCTGGAGAATTTACTCCGGTGTCCTGTTATATTTTAGATAGCAAGGAGTTTATTAAACTTCACCGAGACAATCTGCAAATTTCATTCAAATTTAATAAACTATCATCTTGTCTTTATTTTTAATTAGCACAGACCTTAAACACTTCAAGCTGTAAGCTAATGATAGTTATATAAGAGCAGATGCTGCTGGTGCAATAAGCTGTACTTTTACGTTCAATGGATGATGATCTGATTAGTCGACTAATCGCAAAATTAATCGGTGACTAGTCGACTATCAAAATAATCGTTTGTGGCAGCCCTACTTGGTAGTAAGATGGTGTAAAAATCAGAGTTTCTGACTCCAGCTTGTCGGTCTGGTGAACCACCTGTCACCCAACTTGAAACAGTCACAGTACTCATTCATAAAGTGTTTTACAAACCTGAACATTATGACCAACAGATGCATTTTACTTTCTCAGTGCAGCTAGCCAAACAACACAGAGTCAATTACTGGTAAAGGGGGAGACGGAGAAAGCAGATATTCTTGATTTGTTACCATAAAATCCATTGTTGTAGCCAGGGACAGCACAACAGTTATCCTCTTAAACTGTTTTTTAGTTTTACTGTTCTTATTGACCGCAACCAACCAACCAACAAACTCTGGGATGTCACATTTTGTACTGGGAAAAAGATGGCGCTAAACATGTTATAAAAAGCACTTATTTCATAAATCCAGCTACGTAGAGTTTTATCTATGCCAGTTTTTGAAAGCAGGGCTCCATGGTGTAAATTAGCTTTCACATAGAGCTTTCTGTGCCTGCACTCATCATGTCATTGTATTTTTATTTATTTTTTTCACTGTCCTGTCTGTGACTGTAGCAATCAGAATTATTGTCTGAAGGCCAATAAAAATGCCCAACAGATTTATTTTTCCAAGTGCACCATTACTGCTTTTGCTATACTGGTCCACTTGATGTCATACTTTAATAGATTTCAGGATTTGTATGTTTTTACTTCTGTTCTGTTATTACAATCAGAATAGACAGGACTGGGGTATGGGGTATTATACATGATTATATATCCCTATCTGTAAATAACGACTATCATGTTAATTAATGCGCATTATCCCGTTGAAATAAAAAAAAAATTCTTATGCAGATTATGTAACTTAGTCTAACTACATTTGTGATTTAAAGCTGGAAATTTACCTTCAATTCAATCAGATCCAGGGTCATTCAGTTGCATTCTGTAATTTTTCTTGATTTGATATCTGAATTGCTGTCTGTCTGCTGTATTTAGGAGTGTATATCACAGTCTGCAGTGAAGACCAAATTTGAGCAGCATACAGTGAGGGCCAAGCAGATCTCTGAAGCCCTGCGTCACATTATGGATTCGGTATACATTGCTGCACAGGAGCAGAGGTGAGTCTGTGATTAAAAGCAGTATTTGTATATGCTGAGACTTTAAACCACAGACCCCCAAAAAGCATTGCCCTCCTCTTTTAGCCACAGAGTGCCTGGGGAAAGAATTCCCATAAATGGTTTTCATTGTGATTAAGACCCATGTGTGCAGCACATCTCCATCTTTAATAGACTTTCATTTTAAACTTAAAAAGCTGTGTGGGTTGGTGTGTAGAGTCTATTGTTTGGAGACCAAAGAGGACCGTCAGGACCGATTAGAGTTCATCGACAAGCAGTTGGATCTACTGACCATGGACTGCAAGTCCAAGATCAAGAAGATTACTGAGGAGGTGGAGAGACAGGTGAATTCTGGCACAGTGTGACTGTCCTGGTTTATGTGGATTCAGCTAAAAAGAGGGTGGTTGTTCTTTTAGGTTTCTAATGCCATGGCAGAGGAAATCAGGAAGCTCCATGTGCTGGTGGACGACTTCCATATGGACTTCCATCCATCACCAGTGGTGCTCAAGGTCTACAAAAATGTGAGTTTAACTTTAGCATATTCTTAGACTTTTACATTTACTCAGGGCCTTCTCGATATGACGTTCTTCTGCTTCCCTGGCCGCTGTGTCTGTGAGGATGCTATTCGTTGTGTGTTGTAGCATCCCGAGGGCACCCAGTTTGTGCTCCAGTGGATGATGAGAGTCAAACCCTAAATACTGATCCGTATGCTTTGGTCTCCAGTACACGTCAACTTTTAAATGTACCCCATTACTGATGGAAATCTCACAGTCTAACAAGGCTAACCTATCATTTTTTTTCATATCCTCCCTGATCAATCATTAAGGAACTGACCTCACAGCCCATTGTTCACCACTGGTGCTAGTTCCAGTCATTATGCAAACTTGAATCAGTGATGAAATATTTCTCCTACTGAAAATGCTACGTCCAGATGAACAGAATCAACTTTTCAGGTGTAGTGAAAGTACATCAAGGTATGTTAATTGCACAATATTGTCCATGAATTCTACTCTCTGCCAGAAAATCCTGAAAGAGAATGTTTGACCATCAGTTCATGCTCTGAAGCTCAAGCCACCTGGGTTATGCAGCACAACAGTGATCTGAAAAACAGAAGCAAGTCCACCTCTGAATTTCTCAGAAAAACAAAATGAAGGTTTTGGAGTGGTGTAGTCAAACTCTGGTCTTAAATCTGATTGTGATGCTTTGGCATGACGTTAAACAGCCCATTCATTCCTAAAAACGCCTCCATTATAACTGTATTAAAATAATTCTGCAAAGAAGAGTCGGCCAAAATTTCTCTTCAGTGATGTGGAAAACTCATTGCCAGTTATCACAGATACTTGATTGCAATTCTTGCTGACAAAGAGTGGTATAACCAGTGATGATTTAGAGGGCAATCACTTTTTCACACAGGAAACATCTATGTCAGAGAGTAGACACAGAACCATATAGACTTGGGGGTCTCAAACTCAGAGGAGCTGTGGGCTGCTGCTGCCGCCACTGTCATCTCATTGGAGGGCCACTTAAGTGATCAAGTAGAACAAAAAGAAAAACCAAGAAAATATCCACAAATATTTCCAAAAATGTAGTGCTTTTCTTTATTTTAAATATTCTATGATAAGAAAAATCTGCAAAAGTAAGCACAATTGTTTTTCCCCCTCACACGCCTAAGCCTTTCATTGAACTACCAAATAAACAAATTTGTACTCTCTTTCTGGCCAGACACAGGGCAGCACTTCTGCTATCATTTTGTTCATATTTAACAAAATGAAAATGCAGACATGAGTGTACACATTAGTGTTTGACTCTCTTACTGAACTAACACAGTTTGTACTCGGTTTTTACCTCGGCCAGGTCCACGACTCTGAACCATGGTAAAGAGACCTCTGGTTAATACGTCGGGTTCCGTGTCGGGCTGGTAGCTGGTAGTTAGCTTTACTGTCTGGGTCAACTTTGCTAGCGAGAGACAGAGAGAGGCGTTAAAAGGCTGCTCCAACAGGACTTTATTGTTTCGGAGGCGGCGAACACAGTGTACAGTTGACTCTTAACAGCTTACTTACAACTGGGCTCGTCAGGCACTCTGCAATGACTGTAGTGGTTATTATATTTACGTGCTTCATCTTCCGTTTCTCATCGGTCGCGACTTGTTTTCAACTCTCCGTTTTTTTTCTC